GTCCATGTCACAGGGTTTCATAGTGTCTCACCTTGCTGAGCCAGCTGGGGTTGAGGTGTGATAAGTGCACACCCCAGACAGGCCTGGAGGTAATGGGCTTGTCATTAACATCGATCATCTCCTCCTTGGTCAAAGTGAGCTCCCTGGAGGCAGGACATGGATGTCCCCTCTCTTCCTTGGGGACATTGGAGGGAGGGTATGGATGTCCCCTCTCTTCCCTGGGATTTCATTTGACCCTAAATACCAGTTAAGTGCCAGGACCTGAGCTAGGAGGGTCAAACATTGTGACCATAGGGTCCCCCAGGGCCGGCATGAGAGCAGACAGGTGGTGTTGCCCCAGCCATAGGGTGGTCACCTGGGGGAGCTCAGTGCCTGCCCCTGAGAAAGGGAGAGAGGCAGTGCGAGGAGCCCAGGGTCCAGTACTGCGGGGCCCCATGACAGTGACACTGGAGCCTGGGAGCACCGGCAGGGGCTGTGGTGCAGGAGAACATGTTGAGTTTCTGTGCTGTTTTAAATGTGTTTTTGCTTCAATGATTATTTATTTATTTAGGTGCTGGGGATTGAACTTGGGCCTAGCCCACACTAGGCAAGTGCTCTACTACTAGCCTGATAATTTATTCTTTATTTGTATCCTTATTGATTAAGGGAGGAAAAGAAGTAATTTTTCTTAGCTTAATAAAATCTGAGCAATTTTTATACTAGTTGAGCTCAGTCTAATCAGATCAATAAAGCCAGTGCCAGTGGATTAAATATTTTAGAGCTTAGTTTCCTATAATAAGCATACAGTGAAGAAATAGAATTTTTAAAATAATAGACACACACACAAGCAAGCTAGTCTCCAGGTTAAAGGTTTAATAACAACCAACCAGGGGTTTCAGGAAGCCTGGCCCAGAGGAGCTGGTAACAGTGCTGTCCTGCGGAAGGGAGGCAGCAAACCTTAGAACGCCCTTGGCCTCGGGCATATCTGCTGTTAATAGTCAAGGTGTTCAGCTGGCGCGTCCTCCAGCCACCCTGTCCCTTCAGCACATGCAGAGGCCAGCCCAGGGCAGCGTTCTCAGAGCCTCACGACAAAGCTCAACAATCATTAATCTCTCAAGGTTCCTGCTGTTAAAAGCCAGTAGTTTTTGGTTTTAGCTTTTAATTTAACCAAGGATGAATCCAGCAGGTTGGGGTTTGATTTTTCAAGCTATCATAGCTCCCTTTTGTTGCTTGCTCCATAGAGTGCCTTATGGACCACTTAGCTTTTAATCCTCACGACAGTTGAGCACAGAGACAGAGGAACCAGCCCAAGGTCCCTCCGCTGGAAGTGATGGAGCTGGTTTGTGCCAGCTCCTCGCTTAGGCCTCCTCCCGCTTCAAACATTGTGTCCATGTGGATGTGGTAGCACAGCCTGTAACCCTAGTAACTCGGGAGGCCAAGGCGGGAGTGCGAGTTGAGGCCAGCCTCAGCAACTTAGTGAGATACTGTCTCAGAATAAAAAATCTTTAGAAAGGACATGGGATGTAGCTCAGTGGCAAACATACTGGGCTCCATCCCTGGTGTGGAAAAACAAGTATGGGGCCAGGTCAGGGTCACCTTGGCCCCTGTTTCTGAACCCAAGTGTTTTGAGGCCTCTTTTATTTAATAGACTTCCCCCCTACTGTTTTCCATGAGATGTCTGGAAGCTTATTCAAAAGTTGAAAAATCTTTTAAAGACCTAGTTATTAAAAGTAGGAAAAATATACACCATAGCTTGTCTTCCGAAGGAACCAGTTTTGTACTTAAAAGGCAGATTCTCCATCTCCTTGTGCATTGAGGAAAAATAGCATTCATGAATGCAAGGTTTTTTTGTTTTTTTTTTAGGGGGCAGGAAAACTTCAATCATCATCTTTTAATATTTACCTAATTTTTTAGTTGTAGATGGACACAGTACCTTTATTTTATTTATTTTTTATGTGGTGCTGAGGATCGAATCCAGGGCCTCACACATGCCAGGCGAGTGCTCTGTCGCTGAGCCCCAACACCAACCATCATCTTTTAGCAACTCAGTTTTCTTCTTTCTTCCTCATTGTTGACGAGGCTGTGTTGTTGCACTTTTTGAAAGAACATATGGATAATTCACTGCCATTTCCCAAACCCAGCATATGGCTTTCTGTGGCAGTCCAGGAAACGGGGAAGCATCCTCACCTTCAGGCAAGTAGAGCTTCCTTCCTTTTAGATTTGAGGACTGGCAGAGAGCTGCAGCTGAGCAGGCTGGCAGTGGGCACAGCTGTCTCTGAGAGATGCTTCTGGCCCGCCCCGCCCTGGGCTGGTGTGTGGGCCACATCGGCTCTTGCCCTTCTTTTCCATGGAGAGGGTGTGGGGGTCCTTGGCCCTTGGTCACGCCCAAGGCCTTCCCACAGTCTCCATCCACTTGGCTGGAGCAAGCTTCTCAGGACTCAGCTAGAGCCTGAGTGGGAGTGGAGGCTGAGGGAGTGACCCTCCTCTGCCCCTTTTTTATGGGTGGTTTCTGATTGCTGTCTGCAGGTGAACAGAAATAAGGAAGAGCTTGGCTTCCAGATAAGTTTCAGGAAAGGAAAAGAAGAGTAAATTTGAGAAATGCCAATTAGACTGATTCATCAAAAAGTGATTTTTAAAAAAATATATTTTTTAGTTATAGATAGACACAGTATCTTTATTTTATTTTTATATGATGCTGAGGATCGAGTCCAGTGCCTCTTGCATGCTAGGCAAGCACTCTATCACTGAGCCATGACCCCAGCACCCCAAAAGTTATTTTTAAAACATTGACCCAAGGGTCACGGTGCTGCTGGCCTAATGAGGGAGAAACACAACCCCAAGGCACCTGGAAGTCAGCTCCCGCGTGACTTTCTAAAGAATTCTGTTAGAAATACATTATTATGAAAAAAGTACTAGCATAATTTACAAAATTCTCTTCCTACCCCAGAACAGTGGATTTCATTTTGGTTGCTCTTTTCCTTGTCTTTGCCACATGGCTTGCATTGGACACGCTGAGATGTAAGAACCCGTGTCAAGCATTAGCCATCTTGCTGCAGATCGCTGCTGCGGTTCTCCCCATCAGGGCAGCGCGCTCTCAGGCAGAGGCTCCTGCTGCCACAGCTGCTCCCTGGGGCTGGACAGCCAGGCGTGTGCAGCAGCTCTTCACTGCTATGGCCTCTGTGACCTGGAGTCAGTCTGCTGTCGGCACCGGCACCGGGTGGCCATGGATACCTTGTGTGCTACTACATCTTGGTAGTAAAATGGTTTAGGGCTTGTGGAGCTTAAAGACGGAGAGATTTTCCAAATATTTCTGAACTTTTCTGTGATGACAAGTAGCTGCTGATTGTAGGCCCCTGGAGCATATTTTAAAAATCAGTGTATTTAGTCATCCATCAAGGTAAGGGCGCTCCAACAAAGGAGGAGAGTACTGCCTTCCAAAAACATTTACCATGGAGAGAATTTCTTGAAAGCAGATACTTCTTTGGTACTGGTGATTGAACCCAGGGCCTCAGGCATACTAAGCACATGCTATACCACTGAATGTACGCCAGCCCCAGAAGTCAGGTGTTTTCAATTTTTTCCATTGTTTCTGCCCCCCATCTCTTTTTCTCTCTCTCTCTCTCTATAAAATTATTATTATTATTATTATTTTTGGCCAAAAACAGTCTAAGAGTATAACCTGTTAAAAACCTTAATATCTATGGCCTTAACCTGAGCTCAGTGTTTCTTTAATCTGTTTTAAAATATGTTTTTGTTTTTTGGTACTGGAGACTGAACCCAGGGTGTTTAACCACCGAGCCAAGTCCCCAGCCCTTTTTAAATATTTTATTTGGAGACAGGGTCTCGCTAAATTGCTGAGGCTGGCCTTGAGCTCATGATCTTCCTGCTTTAGCCTCCCAAGCCTCTGTGATTACAGGTATGTGCTATGTTTTAAAATTCTTTAAATGAAGATTTCAGTGAATCTTGAGCTGAATTTTTCAGTGAATTTTTGTTAAAAATGGGAGAATGTAGCTCTGATACTTTCTGATTGATTGCAGGAGCCATTTTTTTTTTAAGGGAAAAATGGAGCTTTACAAGTGAAATGTTCACAAGCTTCTTTGTGCTAAAGATGGAGGGAAGTATGTGGGGTTCCAGCACACCAAGCGGGGCAACCTTCAGGAAGTGCTTTCTGAATCGAATGAACAAACACTACTTCCTGGGCCTACAGTGGGCATGATGTGAGATTTCAGCATCATCCTCCTTGGCCACCAGCTTCTCACATCCCCAAGTGGAGAGTTCAGGGGGGGCCACAGGCAGAGGAGGTCTCCCTGCTGTGCTGTGAGAGACCTTGCAAAGTCTGAGGGCCGGTGTTGGGCAGGTGCCGTGCCTGGTGTGTGAACCTGGCCCTTGGGGTCAAGTGTGGGGACAGCACTCGGACTCTGCTGTGGGAGAGTGCCTTCCATGTTGGACTTGGTTCTCGATGCAGTTTCAGGAGCATTAAGTGTGACCGGTGAGAATTAGAGTGCTCTGGGATGTAGAGGCCTCCCTCGGTCGTGGAGGGAGCCCTGGCTTTGACCTACCCTGAATTATTGGCATGTCTGAAGTCTACATAGCACACCTCTAAATGATCATAGTGCTAGTGCTGTTTTCCACCCCACATGTGTGTCTGCATGCACACAAACACTACTGCCCTGCACACAGCACTCAACAGACAGTCTTGAGTCCTATAGGACCAGGGAGACCCCAGTGGTTCACACCTCATGTCCATTCTGTGGCTTGGCTGCCTCAAGGCCACTCTTACTTACCGCCAGCCTGTCAGGTCCTGTGTGTGGGGAGAGCTCAGCCAGGTGCAGTGGGGCTGGCGGAGGATGCAGGCAGATGTGCCGCCGTCGTTGTGTTTCCAGGTCTCCCCTGGTCATGGGGGGCTTGTCCAGGTGAGTGGCCCTCTTGCGCAGCTTCCTTACCAGTCGGTATTTTAGCTTTAAGATATTTATTTTTGTGATCTAAATATTTTCTAACCCTCTCTTCTGTTTGTGTTGTAGGAACTCAGCTATTTAGTGGTCGAAGTGACTTTAGAATCACCACCTTGAAATTTCACCCAAAAGACCACAGTATTTTTTTATGTGGAGGCTTCAGCTCTGAAATCAAAGCGTGGGACATAAGGACCGGCAAGGTAACTCCCTTCTTCCTAGCTGGCCTTTCCACGGGAGAGCTTACCTTGACGATTTGAATATCGGGGGACAGGTCAGCCTCTATGTAGGGACCTTAAGATGGAATAATTACCACTGAAAAGTTAATCAGCACTAGCAGAATTTTAAGATCTTCTCTGAGAGACTATCATTGATTTGTTTGACTATCGAAGCGTTGTACAGGCAGTCCTAGGCCGTGTATTTCTAGAAGTCCTTGTTGGACACCTTTTGTGCGCAGGCGCAGTCCTAGGCCGTGTGTTCCTAGAAGTCCTTGTTGGACACCTACTGTGCGCAGGCGCTATCCTAGGCCGTGTGTTCCTATAAGTCCTTGTTGGACATCTACTGGCAGGCGCATCCTAGGCCGTGTGTTCCTAGAAGTCCTTGTTGAACACCTACTCTGTGCAGGCGCCTCCAGATGATATATAAAGACAATCAGTTTGGTTGCTCAAGGAATGACTACAGATGCAGATCACTGTGGTGCAAAGAAACGCTTTTCGTGCATGATGATGTGCACGAGAGGTGGGGAGAGGCCAGCATTGGGAGGACATGAGGGCTTTCAGCTGCCTCCAGAGGCCTGGGAGCACCTAGAGGAGGTGCTACTTCCTGTAGGGCTTCTCACATCCCCAAGTGGAGAGTTCAGGGGGGGCCACAGGCAGAGGAGGTCTCCCTGCTGTGCTGTGAGAGAACTTGCAAAGTCTGAGGGCCAGTGTTGGGCAGGTGCCATGCCTGGTGTATGAACCTGGCCCTTGGGGTCAAGTGTGGGGACAGCACCTAGAGGAGGTGCTCCTTCCTATAGGGCTTAAAGGCTGGAGAGGTTTCCACTCCCACCCTCAACTGCCACCTGCTGCCTTCACCACTGCCTGGATGGCAGCTCCTCCTAGCCTTCAGGTATGAACAGCAGAACTGCTCTTTCCACCATACCCCACGCCCTAACCTGCAAGCAAAGCCTGTCGACCACCTTCAGACTCTGACTGCCCATCCTCATGTTCACTGCCCAGCTCTGGCCTCAGCTGCCATAGTCTCTCTGGGACAATCGTAGAGGCTTTTGATCTGGCCTGTCTTCCCCTGGCCCTTAAGAGTCTTTCTAATAAGCATCCAGAGCAGTCCAGGTTTCTGTCTTGATCACAGTAAAAGCCTATATCCTCACAATGGACTGAAAGGCCTCATCGATGTCCTTACACCTCTCTGATCATCTCCAACCTGCTTGGCCTCTGTGCCTTTCCTAGAACACAACCTGCATATTCCTGCCTCAGGGCCTTTGCACTGCTTCTTCTGCCAGGAGTGCTTTTCCTCCAGTTTTCTATGCAGAGGCTAGATCCTCCCTCCTTTGGACGTTGTTCAATCGCCCCTTTCCAGTGAGGCCTCCCTGCCGCCACCGACTGGCATTCAGTAGTCCCCTCCACTATCTTAGTTCTCTCCTTAGGTTTTGTCATCACCTGGCAAGCTATGATTTTTCAGGATCATTTATTTTCTGGTCTTCCACCTCTGAAGTGGAAGCTCTTAGCTCCCAGGGATTCTTGTTTGTTGTGGGCCCCTGGCTTTTAGAACAGTGTTGTTGGAATGGTGAAGGAAGCGGGAGTACATCATGCATAGGACACCAGGTGTGTGTGGGGATTGGCGACCAGCAGGACTTGGCTGGGTGTATGCTCCAGGCAGTGGGACGGGCCTGGACACAGATACTTGAGTCTTGGTTGGGATTAGTGGCGGAGAGTTTGTGAGCAAGGGGGTCCAGAGCAGGGCTGAGGAGGTTCTGTGACCATGGGTGGGCCCACTGCCTGTGGGGCCCGATGACTTCAGGTCTGAGAAGTGCCGCTCTGGGTAGAAGGGGACAGGCTGAAGTGGCCCCTGATGCCCTCTTGAGCCTGCGTGGAAGCTGACTGCGGAGGAAGGTGCAGAACGCCTGTGTGGATTCAGGGCCTCTCGGGCCTCACTCTGAGGAGCTCTAGCCGGCTGTCCCTGCAGCTCCAGAAGGTTCTCCCTGAAGGTACCCTCCTTGAGCTTCTGGCCCTACTCTGGCAGGTTAGTCTCCTGGCCACTGTATTGAGCAGAAGCCCTTCTGGGGAGTCTGGGTGGGGCAGGTAATTGGCTGCTCCAGGAAGGCCCTCCTTCAGCAGGCTGCCCAAGGAGTTGCCTGGGGTTTGAGGAGAACCCAAGGGAAGAGGTCCCTTTCTTGAAAGAGAACAGGGAGTCTGTCTAGTCCACAGGTCAGCTCTTACTCAGTGTGCTTCACCAGTGCCCACAGACCCATGTACTCTTTAAAACAAAACAAACAAACAAAAAAAAAGTTTATCTGTTACAAAGAAACTTTTACAAAAATGTTTAGAAAAGAGAGGAAAATTACCCTTAAAGAAATGGATATGGTATATTTAAGAAAAAATGCTAGAATGCCTTATAGTCAGAGGACAAAGTCACGATCAGCAAAGAAGACGTTTGAACACGCCACGTACCTCGGAAGCTCTTCTCATGACACTTGCGGTGGGACCACCTGATTCCCAACCCTTCCTGACAGCCACCCTGAAAGGTGCCCTCACTGTTTTTAGCCTTAAAGAAATTACTCACCACAGACACCATCTGATTGGAGAGTTTGTTAAAAATGTTGGATTTCCTCCCAGGGCCGACGCCAGCTGCTGGCTCTGAGACCCCCGGGAGAGGTAGTTAGAGGCAGGTGTTGGCGCGGCTGGCATCAGTTTGTCTGGAGCCCTCTGAAGCTCGGACAGGGGGTGATGGGATCTGTGCACACTTGTTTCTTTTCCCCTGTGGTTTTATTTTTTCGTTTGGTCTTTTTACCCACACTCCTCCCCCACCGGGTCCCAAGGGGAGGCAGTGGTGATTCCGTTTGCCCAAGCCGGGCTCAGGGGCACTCTCCTGCTGGATATCTGCTGGAGGGACTCTGTGGGAGGTCCAGCCTCTGACCCTTAGGGCTGAGGTGGCTCCTGTAGCCTGTGGCTCTGTCCCTGGTGCTGAACCGTCACCAGGCATGAGCTCCCATCAGGGTCAGCAGTGGCCCGGCAGCAGGGAGACAGCCTTAACTTAAGAAAAGCAACAACCCCTTCCAGATACAACAGGGAGTGGTGTTTATTATAAAGTGGAGACAGCCATGTAATGAAAGGGAAACCCGGGAAAGGAGAGGCAGTGCACCAGCCCAAGGGGAGCAGCTAGCGGCATTTTGATGTAGTTTTTTTCATTATTCTTTCCCCCTGTGGTTTTATCTTTTAGTTTAAAAACACTGGCCTTATTTTTATACACAACTCCAGATTTTGCTTTTCACATAGGTTATAAGGATTTTTCTTGTTATTATGAACTCTTATAAAAGCTTTGGTGATATTCCTTTGACTCCATATGCCTTCCTGTCTTGCCCCTGCCTTAGCCCCCAAACTCAACAGTGTCTGGTAGGCACTTGGTAGATCTGTCGAGAGAATGCAGCAGATGCATGAATACATTAACTTATTAAGTCATTTATGTTGGATATGTAGAATATTTCAAAACTCTTTGCATTTAAAACTAATAAATGTGAGCATAGAGATCAGGGGTCAGAAAAATGCAGCCCAAAGCTAAATCCAGCTTGCTACCTGTTTTTATAAATCATGTATTATTGGAACACATAGCCGTTCACTTTTGTACCATTCTGTCCTGCCCTCACAGTCCAGGAGCAGAGCTGAGACCACAGGGCCTTCAGAGCCAAAAGTATTTACCCTCTGGCTGACGCTTGGTAAGGAGAGACTTGGTTCTGACACTTGTCATCATGTTGGTTACTAGGAATGCTTGACAAGGTGGAAGTCCTAGACGTAATCTGTTTGGTGTATCCTGGCAGAAACCAAATACTCTGAGAATGTCTTTTTAGATGGTGGAAAACTGTTCTTCAATCAGGGGTGTGTCTGTCATTTCTCTATGATTGCCAAGAACACTACCAAGGTTAGCTTTATCATCCATAAGAGACACCTTTGTGCACCCAGCTTTTCCCACGTCTGGGATTTACTCCTTGAACTCAAATTGCTGAGTTCAAGTGAGCCAATGTTTTGAGGGGTTTCTGCCGACAGGACTGAGGCTAGCAGGCCCACTGCTGGAGGGTGGCCCTGGAGGCCAGGCAGCTTCTCACTGGGATCTTAGGGTGCAGAGTCTGATGAATTGTTGCAGCAAATAACTTTTCAGCTACATTCCAATCATGAGATTTTATGGTTCCTTCAACTTAGTCAAATGATAAATGGTGGGATTTTGAACTTTTCTAGTCAATTCATTACAGCAAATGAGCTTTTTGGCTCCCCTTCCTCCTTTTCCTGGCTGATCTCTTTGCCTTGAGTTTGGTGATTGGAGCACATCTCATCACTGGAAAGTGCCTGACTTCAGTTCTTCCTAGCCAGTTAGGTAAGCATGCTTCCTTGGTGCTGGCTTAATGCCTTTGGTACCACATGGTGACTCTTCTTCCTCCCAGCAGTCTGTTTGGACATGGGTGCCAGCCAGAACCCACGACGTCTATGGTCTGACTGTCATGGTACTGTGGGAGTCCCTCTCTCCTGAAGCTCCTCTGGTCCCCAGGGCCAGTGGCCTGAGTTGCAGGAGACAGGGTTCTTGTCTTCCTCCCACTTGCTCAGCTGGGTGACCTGAGGTGAAACATGGGTTACTTTGCTTAAGTGCACGGTTTCCTCACTGGTATGGCCAGGGCATGATGAGGTGACCTCCTCAGCAGTGTTCTCAAACCTGCACAAATGTAGGGAGCCCCTGGGCTCACACTGGGATGCAGTTCTGGGGCAGAGAGGAGACATCTTGCATTGCCAGCCGGCTCCAGGAGATGTAGAGGGAGGTGCACGTGGATCACACTCTGAGAAGCCGGGGACTCTGTGCCCAGCACATCTTGGGAACTATACATCCCAGCCCGGGAACTATAGAGCTGATGAAGAGGTCTGAGACATGGACCCAGCTCTCCAGGGCCCAGCAGCCCTGTGGGAAATGTCCCATGGTAGTCACCTTCAACTCACCTTGAGATGACTGTGTTTTTTATTTTGTTTTGTTTTGATACAGGGAATTGAATCCAGGCCCTTGTGTGTGCTAGGCAAGTAGTGGGTTGACACTGAGCTATGTCCCCAGCCCTGAGACAATTTTGTATTTTGAGCCAAAAGTTAGGATAGGTAATAGAAGCAGTCTCCTCAGGAGGCTGAGGCAGGAGGATTGCGAGTTCAAAGCCAGCCTCACCAAAAGTGAGGCGCTAAGCAACTCAGTGAGACCCTGTCTCTAAATAAAATACAAAATAGGTCTGGGGATGTGGCTCAGAGGTCAAGTGCCCCTGAGTTCAATTCCTGGTGCCAAAAAGAAGAAGAAAAAAAAGCAGTATCCCCACAAGCTTGTATTATGAGTCAAATTTGTTAAGAAGGCTCCTATGGAGGCCTAAAAGTTATATTGCATATTGAGTGAATCACTCTTTTTGTAAGAATGAACCATGGAACCCCAATCTCAGCAAATTATTTCTTGGTGAAGGCAAGATCGCGCACTGGAAACTGGAGCAGCTGTGGAGAATCTAGGACGCAGGGCTCCTGGAGCTGGAGCCGGGCCTGTGCCCCAGCTCCTCTCCCTTCCGGTGCTCAGCTGACGCTCGGCAGGCAGGGCTGAGCCTTCTTTGATGTCTGCTCCAACTGTGCCCTTGAGGAGGACAGCCTGTGCCGCCAGACTGTTGCCTTGGCTCCTCCGGCCCCCGTTGGTCCTCTGGAACCCGGGCTCCCTCCCACTCTGGGATTCTCCTGGTAGATCAGCTCTGACAGGCCCACTCACTTTTACTCCTTGGTGCTGCTTTGACACGATCATCAATATTTCATGCTTGTTCTACATCCTTTCATTCTTTCTCTTCTGTTTTTAAAGTGTTTAAAAGGAGGTCTTGACTTTCAGGTCTTGAATTGGTTTCTTGACCTTCTGGAGCTTTGTTGCCCCAGACCCTCTGCAGGTGTGTCCTTGCCTGAGGTGACAGCAGAGCAGGTCCCTTGCCCTTGGCCTGTGTGGACCACAGCCCTCCCTGGTCAGCTGTAGTCCAATGGAGTGTGACCTCCATAGGGGCAGGGACTTCGCCTCATTTGCTGCTTGATTCGCAGCCGCTGGCATAGTGCCAAGAACATGGGAGGCCTGGGGGAAGAAGACTCGCCAGAATGACTAGGAGCCCTGAACAAGACGAGCCTAAGAAATACCAGGAAATTCTCCTGCCCAGCGAAGGGGAAGCTGAGCATGGTTCAGGACTTGGCTCTTCTAGGCGCCTTTCCCAGTGGATGTTGTTCCCTGGGTGGAGTAACAGGAGCTGGCAAAGGCGCCCCCGGCTTGCACTGTTTGACCTAGTGCAATGGTCAGAGCCACTTGGGGGCCTTAGGAAGAAAACAGGTGCCTGCCCTGGCTCCTTCTGGAGCCTCCTGGGCACTGAGATCTTTGAAAACCCTGCAGGTGATTCTAGTGTCTAGCCATAGTTGGGAACCTCAGTCCTGGGGCCCATAGTTTGGGTGCCCAGGGGAGAAGCCAGCGTGGGTGTCTGCCTTTGTGGATTGCTCATCCTTGCCATCTGCATTCTCCTGAGGACGACGACGGCTGAGGGGGAGACTCCGATTTGCCTGCATGGTTTAACGCCATCAGCTTCTGTGGCATTGTAGTCAGGTTGCTTATTTGCCCTAATGAGGTTTTGATTACTTTCCATTTGTCTCTTTCATCCATTTTATATTAAAATGCCTTTCTGTTTGGACTCTCTGTACTTTCTACAGTTCTGAACATTGCTGCAAGCCAAACTTCCATGCAGATGAGGCTAGGAGACCAGCAGAGCTGGAGAGGTGGGATGTGGTGCCCATTCCCCAGCCCATCATGTGGGGCAGTGCTGATGAAGGTGATTGCCAGCGTGGGCACTCTGGAGCGCCTCGTGTGCTGGAGTTCATCTTCTGTGGCAGTGCTGGGGTAGGCAAGGTGCTATGGTCATCCCAGGTCTCTGGCAGGGCACACCTCAAGCACACCTGGTTGGTAGTGGGGGGGTCAGATCTTGAACACAGGTGGTTTGATGCCTGAACCCTTGCAGGGCCTCTCATTCATAGAATGAATGACGTGTTGGTCTCAGATGTAAATGAAGATGAGTTGGTGAGGCCTGAGCCTTTCATTCTCAGAGAAGCCTGTGTGGGCCAGCCCAGGTCCACCCTATCCTGCTACACAGCTATGTCTGCTGTAAGCACTGGCTGGGTGGGGCAGCCTTGCAGCCTCGGGCCTGAAGACACAACCCAATACCTCCGTGAGGGTAGCCTTTCTGTCCCTGCAGTCTGGATGAGGACACAGGTTCTGAAAGGTTCTGCTCTCAGCACGGGCAGGCAGCTGTGGAGGAGCATGGATGTGAACCCTGATCTTCTAAATCCTCCCTTTTCCTATTGCAGAGAGAGGGCACATTTCATTTCTTGGTGTCACAAATGTTTTCTGAGTCTCCACCAGTGAACAGGCATTGTTCCTGGGCATGTAGTGACAAAATCCAGCTCAACAGTCCATGCCTAGGAGCTTACAGTCTGCAGAAGACGTGCAGAGGCTACCACTGAGAGCATCTGTTTCTTTTGATGGATTTATCAATGGCTGACTTTACAAATGGCTGGGAAGTCTCTGTATGTCTCCCAGGTTGTCCTAAATTTGAGACCCAGGTGAACAGTTGTTTTCCAGAATCCTGAACCTCAGAGACCTTCCTCTTAAGCTTCACTCTGCACCCCTCCCTGTTCTTGGGGTTGGGTTGGAAAACTCCTGCTGCAAGTGAGCTTGGTGTGTGATTGTTGAAGCCCTCGAGCCTCGAGGGAGATGTCTCAGGACTTTGATTGACACCTATCCAGCTGGATAACCTTTGCCTTAAACTTGCAGTAGGGGATATCAGAAAGCATGAAGTTGGTTTCTTGGACCTGCAATGCTTACATAAATACAATGTTTACATAATTCTAATTGATGAATGCTTTATAATATGTTTTTGCCACTGAAATAAGCACTATACTACACTCAACACTTCTGTTCTTGTAGTTTAAAAATTTATTTTTTTAATAGTCACAGTTCTTAAAAATTTATTTTAACTTTGTCTAACTAATAGTGTTCAAAAAATCATGAATATGAGGCTTAAGTTATTTTATTTTAATATACTTTAAATACTTAATTTTTTGGTAACAGCTTTATTTTTCTTTTTTTAAATATTTTTTTAGTTGTAGTTGGACGCAATACCTTTATTGTATTTATTTATTTTTATGTGGAGCTGAGGATCGAACCAAGGGCCTCGCATGTGCTACATAAGTGCTCTACCACTGAGCCACAACCCCAGTCCCTGTAACAGCTCTACTTATTTATTTATTGTAGTTGTAAATGGACAGAATGCCTTTATTTGTTTATCTTTATGTGGTGCTGAGGATCGAACCCAGTGCCTCACATGTGCTAGGCAAGCGCTCTGCCACTGAGCTACAGCCCCAACCCACAGCTTTATTTTAATACCATACAATTCATGTATGTAAAAGTAATTCAATAGTTCGTAGTATGTTTCCAGCATAATGCAACCATCACCACAGTGAGGTTAGTACTTTTTCATCAGTTTAAAAAGAAACTCTAAAAAAAGGATTAAAAAATAAAAAGAAACCCTGTCGGATATGCCTGAAATTCCAGTGTCTAGGGAGGCTGAGGCAGGAGGATCACATGTTCTGGGCCAACCTCAGCAACTTAGTGAGGCCCTAAGTAACTCAGCAAGACCCTGTCTCAAAAGTAAGCAATAAAAAGGATGGATGTGGCTCACTGGTAGAGCACCCCTGGGTTCAGTCCCCAGCACCAAAAAGTAAATAATTAAGAAGAAGCTCCACATCTTTAGTAGTCCCCTGGCCCCTAGCAACCACTGACCTACTTTCTGTCCTTTGTGGATTTTTTTTTTTTTTTTTTTTTTTTTGTGGTGCTGGGGATTGAACCCAGGTCTTGTGCATTCAAGGCAAGCGCTCTAACCCAGCACTTGTGGATATTTTACATAAATGGAATCGTGCAGTGTTGGTCTTTTGTGCCAATTTCTTTCACTTAACATAAACTTCTCAAGGTTTATCTGTACTATAGCCTGCGTCAGTACTTTCTTTTCTTTTTCATTGGACTTTGTTTTTTAGAGGAGTTTAAGGTTTACAGGAAAACCAAGTGGAAGGTCCAGGATTGCCACCTGTCCCTGTCTCCACATGTGTGTTTCTTCCTGCTTCCCCCCCTCCCAAGTGGTGTGTGGGTCGTGTTTGATGGACCTGCACTGCCACGTCACTGTCACTGGCACCCACCGTCTAGTTTGCATTGGCGTCACTCTGGTTTTTCTTTTTTTTTGTACCAGGGATTGAACTGAGGGGCGCTTAACCACTGAGCCACACCTCCAGCCCCTCTTCATATTTTATTTTGAGACAGGGCCTCACTGAGTTTCTTAGGGCCTTGCTAAGTTGCTGAAGCTGCCTTTGAACTCGAGATCTTCCTGCCTCAGCCTACCGAGCCCCTGAGATTACAGGGTCACGCCGCCACCCCTGGCTGCATTGGTGTCACATTGGTGTCTGTGGATTTGGACAGATGTGTAATGATGTGCTGTGGACTGACTGTCTGTGTCTCCCCAAATGCCTAGATTGAGTCCTTATGCCCAGTGTGGAGACAGGGCTGTCCTTACAAGAGGCACTGAGAGAAATGATCGTGTGTCCACTGTGCAAGAATACGGTAGAGACAGCTCTTTTCAAACTTGGACGAGCACCTCACCAGGCCCGAGGATCTTGCAAGCAACTCGATCTTGTGTGTTTTGAGGCGCTGCTCCACTTGATCCAGATGATCAGGTCACATTACTCTTTTGGTGTCCATGGTGTCCCTAGTGACATATCACCCCTTTCATTTCTAATATTAGTGGTTTGTGTCCTTTCTTTTTTCCTTAGCTTAGGCCTGTTGATTTTTTTTTTTTTAATATTTATTTTTTTGTTTTCTTCGGACACAACATCTTTGTTTGTATGTGGTGCACAACATCTTTGTTTGTATGTGGTGCTGAGGATCGAACCTGGGCCGCACGCATGCCAGGCGAGCGCGCTACTGCTTGAGCCACATTCCCAGCCCCAGGCCTGTTGATTTTTTAAGCTTTGTTAAAGAACCATCCTTCATTTTCATTACTTTTTCTCTATTAATTTCCTATTTTATTGATTTCTGTTCTGATTTTTATTATTTCTTTTCTCTTGCTTTCTCTAGATTTCACCAGCTCTTCTTTTTCAAGTTTCCTAAAGTAGAAGCTTAGATTGTCTATTTTGGGTCTTTCTTCTTTTCTTGCAGAAGTACTCAGTGCTGTAAATTTCCTCTAAGCACTACTTTTATTGAATCCCACAAATTTTGGTAAGTTGTCTTTCCATTTTCATTTAATTCAAAATACTTTAGATTTTTTCTGGAGGTGTTTTTGGGCCCAGGTGTTACTTAGGAGTGTGTTGCTTAATCTCCATGTATTTGGGGATTTCTCGGCCCTCATTCTGTTTTGCCATGGTGTGAGAGCAGACATTGCGTGACTTCTGTGTTGTGTTGTTGTTGGGTTGTTTTGTGGTCCAGAATGTGGTCTGTCTTGGTGAATGTTCCCTGGGAATTTGAGAAGAATGTGTTCTGTTGTGGTGGGCTTCTGTGTCCCTGGATGCTGGTCACATCTAGTTGCTGGATGGTATTGTCGAGCTCAACTGCCTCCTTTGTTTCTGCTGCCCGCATCTGTCCACCTCTGATAGAGCAATGTCTCCGGCTGTCTTGGTGGATTCATCCATCTTTTCTTGCGATTCTTATCAGTTTTGGCCTCATATATTTTGATGCTTTGTTGTTGCAAGGTGCTCACACTTTAAGGCTTGTTATGTATTGTTTTTTGGTTTTTTTTTGGGGGGGGGGGTGTACCTGGGATCGAACTCAGGGGCACTAGACCCAGCCCTATTTTGTATTTTATTTAGAGAGAGGGTCTCACTGAGTTGCTTAGCACCTTGCTTTGGCTGAGGCTGGCTTTGAACTCATGATCCTCCTGCCTCAGCCTCTTGAGTTGCTGGGATGACAGGCGTGTTATGTATTCTTAGAGGATTGACCCCTTTATCATTATGAAATGCTCTCTCTTTTTTTATTTTTTTGTTTTTGAGTTGGGGGTCTTGCTAAATTGCCTAGGTTGGCCTCAGACTCTCAGTCCCCATCTCAGCCTCCTGAATAGCTGGGGATTATAGACGTGGCCACCACACTTGGCTCATTTTGTTTTGTTTTATTTTGTAGTACTGGGGGTTGAACCCAGGTCCTCACACATGGTGGGCAAGTACTCTGCCCCAAGCTGCACCACAACTCTTTTCATTTTATTTGAGACAGGGCCTTGCTAAGTTCTCCAGGCTGGCCTCCAACTCTTGATCTTCCTGCCTCAGCCTCCCAAGTAGCTGCTATTTCAGGTATGTGCCACTCACTGTACACATGTAATGAATGCCCCTCTTTATTCCTGATAACTTTGTCCTGAAATCTGCTTTGTCTGAAATTAAGATTATCTATTTCTGCTTTTTTTTGATTAGTGTTAGATGGTATATCTTTCTCCAACCATTTACTTTAAATTTATGTATATCTTTATGTTTACAGTGTCTCTTTTGTAGACAATATATAGTTGGGTGGTGTTGTTTTTAAATTTACCCTGACAATTGTTTTTTTAATTGTCACAGTTAAGCCATTGATATTCAAAGTGATTTGGTATAGTTGGATTAAGAGCTCCCACATTTGTCACTGTTTTCCATTTGTGACCCTGCTTTTTCTGTTTTTGTCTTTCACTATTTCTCTGCTGTGTATGTGGTGCTGGGATCAAACCCAAGGCATGTGTTGGAGTGCAGCTGGCCCAGGTCCCTTTGTCACTCTAATTGAGCATTGTGTGGTTCCATTTTCTTTCTTAGCTTATCAGTTACACCTCTTCTCCTTTTTTAGTAGTTGTTCTAGAGTTTATAATGGACGTTTTCAATGAGTCCATGTCCACCTTCCTTGACACTGTCCTCAGGGGTGCTGTGAGTGCCTGTCCCTGTGTCATTGCTGGCATTCATCTCACTCATACATGAGGGTGCATAATTGAATATATTGTTGCTTTATTATTTTGAACAAAATGATTATCTGTTGTATTAACTAAAAAAAAAAAAAAGGTTTTAGCTTCACCTTGGCACTATCCTTCCTTGATGGTCTGTCTTCCTTTCATATGTAGATCGAGTGGCTGACCCCTATCATTCTACCTCTTTCTGAAGAACCTCTTTTAACCTTTCTCACAAGGCAGGCTACTTGGAACAAATTTCCTCAATTTTTTATTTGAGAAAGTGTTTCTCCTGAACTATTGAAGGTTATTTTTTCAGGGTATAGAATTCTAGTTTTGTAGAATCTTTTCCATCCAACATTATAAATATTTAGTCTCACTTTCTTCTTGTTTGTGTGGCTTCTGCAGAGAAGCTAGATGTAATTCTTGGCTCCTTTGTGGGCTTATAAGATGCTTTTTCTTCCTGTGGTGGCTATCAGGATCTTCTTTGTATTTTCTGTAGTTCGAACACGATGTGTCCCGATGTTATGTGCGTGTGTGTGTATCTGGCATTTATCCTGCTCCATGTTCTCTGAGCTTTATGGACCTGTCATTTGATATCTGATACTAATCTGGGGAAAACCTTGGTGTTTAAGTTGCATGTCTTTTCCCCGTTCCTTTTGCTCTCTCTTCTCTTTCTGGTACCCCGTGTGGTGTATGTTACACCTTTTGTAGTGCCCACCAGTCCTTGGATGCTCTGTTCTGTTTCCACCTCTGCCCCCAGGCTTTTCTCTTCACTTTTCACATTTTTGGAGGTTTCTACTGAGACATTCTGAAGCTCAGATGCTCTTGGTCAGTGTACAGTCTGCTCAGCCCCACTGAAGGCACGCTTCATTTCTGCTTCAGGGCTTTGGGTCTTCAGAGTGTCATGTGGAGTCCCTGCCTCTGCTGGCCGCGCCAGCTATGGTGACACACCGTCTGTCCCACCAGCACCCTTAGCTTATTGACCACGGTGGATTTACAGTCTATTCCAACACCCCTATCCTGTGAGCAAAAGCAAACATGTGTTTTGCTTTTAGCACGCCCTGTGCTTTTTTCTCAGTAGCAAGACGGGATGCCAGGTAAGTGGGGACGTCGCAAACGGACCCTGCTGTGGGGGGAGGTGTCGGGGCAGGAGGCGACCTGGAGGCATCCAGGAGGCATCCAGGAGGCCTGTGGGGCCAGTCCTGTGATGAGCCTGGTCTCACTGAACTTCAGATATGCCTCTCGGTCACCCTTTCGTTTAAATAGGACAGGATGGCCAGAGTGGCTGAGCTGGTACCTTCTTTCCCCAGGAGGCCAGAGGAGCCGGAACTGGGTGTGTTCTCCAGAGCCAGTTGGTGTTGGGCATCCCCTGCCCCAGGTCAGTGGGTTGTGGTAAATTAAAACCCCAGCAGGCTAGTTTACCAGCATTAATGAGTTCCTCCCAAGGACACCCCTCTTAAAGAAGAGCAGAACTGAAAAGAACCAATAAATTAAAACAAAACACAACAACAACAACACAAAAAAACAAAAACAAACTAAAAATAAAGAGCATATGCTCTATGGTGTTTCAAAGTACAGGTCAGGACCTAGTACCCTCTACTCAAACTTCTGGAGACCAGGAGTGTCTTGGGTTTCTGATATTTTCAGATTTTGGAGTATTTACACATACGTAATGAAATATAGCTGGGGAAGGGGACAGAGTTCATTTTGTTTCACTGTACCTTATGCACATATGTGATGATGATTTACCTGCTGTGTTTAGTGTGCCTGTGTTTAGACTGTGACCCAGCATGTGAGATCAGATTCCACTTGTGGCATCTTGACAACATTTAGAAAGTTTTGGATCTTGGAGCATTATAGATTTTTGGACTAGAGGTGTTCAGTGCTGTAGCTCCTTTCCTTCTCCTGCCAGGAGGAGCCCAGGGGATTGTTCTCCAGGCTTCATTGTAAGAACCTGGGAGAATTCGTGGCGTAAAACTCATGGAATATTTTGGGGCTTATGGTGACTGGTTCCGAGAGCTCTATGTTCTAGACTTGCCACACTGAGCCTCCAGCAGTTTTGTCCGTGGCAAAGTGCCCTTGGAGAGGGTCAACATGAGTCTCTGTTCCCATAGGTGGTCTGCGTCCCTGGTGCTGGCCCTGCAGGGGTCTGCTCCTGTGGCTGTTGCTTTCTGTGTTGGCCCATCTGGGTCCCATTTCTGGGGGCAGAGGTTTGCCTCTTACCTAACTTGTTTTATGGGTCTAAGAAGAATTTTTTAGTTTGTTCGGCTTTTCACTTGCTGTTAGGAAAGAAATGCTGATTATGAACTGCTTACATGCAAGACTGTTAGCCAGGGTGTGCTTCCTTTCTTTTGATGATCAAATAACATTCTATTGATTGGATATGCCACGTTTGTTTTTTGTTTTTTTTTTGTTTGTTTGTTTTTTTAACCACTCACCAGTGGATAGATATTTGCATTGTGTCCATTTTAGGGAACATGCTGTGAACCATCCTGTCGTGAACATTCATTTGTGGTTTTTGTGTGGACGTGTTTTCGTTTCTCTTGGGTTTGACCAAGGATTGAAACTGCCGAGTCGTGTGGTGGCCTGCTGTGTAACCCTCTGAGAAACTGTTCCTGTTTGCCACAGTGGCTGCCATCTTACCTTCCCACCAGCAGTGGGTTTTCACATCCTCACCAAAACTTACAGCTGCTTGTCTTCTTGACTATACCTGAACTAGTGGGTGCATAGTGCTGTCTCCTTTGCTCCAGTGGTAGTTGGACATAGGGCTGTTCAGATAGGTCATTTCATCGTGAGTGAGCTTTGATAGTTCAGTGCCTCAAATAATTGGCTCTATGTCGGGAAATTTGTGTGCAGGAACTTGTTCATCATGTTCCCTTGATAGCTTTAGTTTGAAGTGCTAGCTCCTCTTCCATGCTTATAATTGATAATAGTATTTGTGTCTTTTTTCCTCCTTAGTCACGGTGGCTAGAAATTTATCAACCATGGTTATTTATTGATTCTCCATTGTTTTTCTATTTTCAGTCTCATTCATTTCTGCCCTTTTATTTTCTTCCTTCTGCTCTTTTTTCTAATTTCTTTTCTTTATTATTATTATTATTATTTTTTGTGTGTGGTCCTGGGGATTGAACCCAGAGCTTTGTACATGCGAGGCAAGCACTCTACCACCTGAGCTGTATCCCCAACCCCATCTTTTTCTAATTTCTTAAGCAGGCAAGTTAGGTCATTATTTGAGTTCTATCCCTCCCTCCCTTTCTTTCTTCCTTGGTTCCTCATGTATCACACAGGCTGGGCTTGAACTCATGATCCTTCTGCCTCAGCCTCCTGAGTACCTAGGATTATAGATGCATACCACCATTTCTGGCTGAGGTTTTCTTTTTAAATACAAGCATTTTAATGCTACACATTTTCCTTTAAGCATTGCTTTGTCTGTATCCCACAAATCTTGATGTATTGCATTTTAATTTTAATTCAGTTAAATTTTTTTCTAATTTTATTTTGATTTCCTCTTTGATGTATGGGTTTAGAAGTATTTTCCTTAATTTCCAAATATTTTCTGTTATGGTCAGAAAGTTTACTTCATGTGGTTTCTATTCTTCTCAATTTGTCAAAGCTAGTTTCATTGTCCAGAATATGGTTTTCTGGTAACAACAGTTTTGTTACCTGTCCCATGTGCTCCTGGAAGGAAGCTGTGTCCTGCAGAGGTTGGTGGAGTGGCCACAGGGCAGCTGGGTCCTGCTGGCTGACGGTTGTGCTCAGTTCTTCTGTATCCTTGTTGATTTTTCAAACTTGTTCTTTCAGTGGTTGAGAGAGTAGCGTTGTCTCCAACTACAGTTGCGGATTTGTATGGTTTTTTTCCCCTTAAGTTGTCTCATTTCTTTGCTTCAGCTACTCAGAAGGTGCTACGATGGTTCCACTGAGGTCTTATTCTCAGACCACAGATGTTAGAGAAATACGAAAAAAGAAAAGAAAAAAAGGTTGAAAGAAAAAGAAGGAAAACAGAGTAGGCTGTCACCTCTGTACTGGCCACTTCTCGTTTTCAGCCGTCTCTTGAGCCACCTGAGCTGCTCTCTTTAGAGTCCTCAGGGGGCTGCTTTACACGTTTTATCCTGTCTTAGTTGGAGTCTGTGGAGAGGAAGGCTGTGGTGCACTTACTCCAGTTTGACCTCAGGTTGATTCTGAACACTGTTTTCTCTTCTGTGAATTCCCCTCATTTTGGCCAGGTGCTACCCGAAGTGCAGGTCTCTCCTGACGTCTCCATTCAGCAATGTTCCCAAGCCCAACAGGGCGGATGCTCTTCCATAGCCTGATTCCCCTGGGACTGTAGCAGCCTGGAGATTTGCTGTCCC